AAAAAAAAAAAAAAAAAAAACAATCAGGTCTGAAAAATAGACTCCTCAGTTATATATTTTTTTTCATTACGAAATAAATTTTTATGCATCGTAATTGAAAAACAGAGAAAGATTTCTAATTTATCCAGCTAGTCAACTTTTATATTGAGAAGAATTTTACGATAATCACGAGATAAACAACATCGCAATGTATGACAAAACTCAAGAAAAAGCAGTCGGCAAAGTCTTCTCAGTAGGCAAATTCTTTTAAAACTGTTACCTTTGTTACACTTTTACTTACGTTGCAAAATAGTTTTTTCACTTCGCAAATGGAAAAGAAAAACATTTCTAATTTATCTAACGAGTCATTTAAGTTTCGAACCGAGGATTAGAAGCGTGTATCAGAAGAAAAAAAAAACGTCACTTCAGAACCGTGATCAAGAGTTTTGCTAGGTATGATGAAACTCAACGAAAAGCAATGAACAAATTCTGAAAAATAGACAGTTATTCTTTTAATTTCGTTACAAAATATATTTCTGTGCTTTATGATAGATAAAACACCTTTATATAGTGTATCTAGCGAGTCTTTTATATCGAGAAGAATATAACCTTAATCACGTGATCACCAATGTTTTAAGGTATGACGAAACTGCGAATTCTGAAAAATCGTCACCTTAGCTAAGAGAAAGCTCTGTAACGCCGTTGTTCCCTTCCACCTTTTTTAAACGTTTTCTAAAAATCAACAAATGTGCTACTGAGGATCATAAAAATGAAATGGAAACACCTGGAATCGCACATCTTGTGTGAGTCGTTGTCCTTGGGGGACCGATTCCGACATCAACTGATTTTGGAGAAGATAAACGGCAGATCACGAAACACAGTTCTCACCAGCAGTCTCTCTCTTGGAATACTTGAGACGGATTAACGGTTTATTTTATAGTCGACGCACGTTTTGGTTACTTTTTCGCAGTTGACATCTCATGTTTCCGTTAAATATTCCACAGTGTGTCAATAAAGAGTGTGTCAATGATGTTTTTTTTTAAATCCGTGTGGGAACAATTTGTAGAACTATTCAGCATTAATACCATTTTAAATAATCTTTCGCCGCGGGTCATTAAATCTATTTTAAAGCGTTAAACAACTTATTTTTCTATATTTTTTCATTCGCTGCTGTCATTTCGCCGTCATTCGCATTTAAATGAATGCCTCTTTTTGAATTCAAATTCCGCATGCTGATGGTATTAAAATTTTTTTCTCCTTACCACATCATCAATAAGCAGTTAAGTCTTTAATTATCCTTAGTTAAACCGACAACGTTTTCACAATTTCAGATTTGATACAAGAATGCTCATCTTTTGACACATATTTTCTGATGCAAATTTTAGGGACTTTACCGGGAATTGTGCATTATTTTATTTATTTTTTACTTCATAAAAGGTTTTTAATTCATTTGCAATGTATTCGCCACTTGAGATGGCTATCTAATGTGTAACAAAATTCTCCGAGTTTCTGAAAAAGGAAAATTTTTGTAAGATCACAGTAACCATCCCCATAAAGTACCCTTCTTCTATCCATAGATATAAAGGCCTATATTAGTCCCTGCTTCTACCCAAGAAATATTTTGTTTTCTACTAAAAAGAAAAAATAATAATATTCAACAGTTCTCGCAGAATGAAGGTCTAAAGTAGCTTTAAGAACCACACTAGGATACTTTGGTGCTACATTTTATCATATCAGGGTAAATCTAATATTATGAAGCCACACAGGAATATACATCAAATAATACAAAAATAAAAGTTGTACACAAAGTGCCATGAATGTGTAAGATGGCGATATTAGGGTACTATGTTTTATAACCGTCGTTGAACAGCTGGTCCAATTTTATGGGTTTACGACTATAACGTTCAAATCAGTAGCCTTGTAATTTTGAACCCAATTCAGAACACAAGGGAATTCCTGGATAGAGTATTGGGAGAAATTTGCCTTCGTGGCGGACTTTTTGATGAAGCTAACCCGCATTTGTGTTACATGGAGAGGAAGACCACGAGAACCTCCCACGGTTAGTCTGACGGCAAGGGGACTCTAACCTATGATCCATCTACCACTGAGGATATTTCACGTCAGCACTGTGGTCGGTGCAAGCCGGATGCGGAATTTGTATCGACTGGGATTCGAACCCGGGTTACCGCATTGAAAGGCGAACGCTCTATCCCCTAAGCCATCGCGGCTCGGGTGCTTATCCATTTCGGAGAACGGTAAAAAAAAAAAAAGCTATTACCACAATACCTGTTTTAAACACCTTTGTATAATATGTTCTCAGTACTACAGGGCTTAATAATGGAAATACCAGAACTATTAAATACCATATTACTGACGTCAATAATAGTTTGGTGATTTTTTACAGCATTTGTAGCGATACAATAAGTACCGATATTATTTCGTCCACCAAAATTTTTTGCTAAAATTTTAGTGTCGTTACTAATTATTTTCGGGAATTACAATTAATTAATTCGGTGCAAAGTGAAGCAAAAAAAGTTTTGTACTTTAAAGCTAAATTAACGGAGAAAAGGTACTTATTCAGCTAGAAAAATCATAAAAAATCATCTTATTAATAATTAGCGTTTTAAATAAGTACTAAATATACTACGATTGATACAAATATATCTTACAGCCCACTGAAACGGATATATACAGAAGAAAATTGCTGATTTCAGTAATTTTTGCCTATCAAGACTTAGTTTTGGGCAATGGCATTATGGCAAATGATATTGAGTATAAATATATTTATTTTTTAAAGGGATGAACTCAACGGTATACACATGAATTTGCTTAATTTAATGAAATAAAGTCACCTGGAAGTAAGGGATAGGTACCTGAAAAAAATTGTTGATTATGGTACTTTCTGACTATCGTTTTTGACCTCAAGCAATAGCATTATGAATGAAACTGATTACAATTAATCTT